AAAAAAAAAGTTGTTATATAGAATACTCTCTTACACTTAAATACAGAAGAGAAATTTAGCTAGATCAACGGAAGGTTAATTTGTGAGACAAAAGTAGACGGGGTAAAAAAGGAATTTTGATGGTGAAGCCAGAAAGATATGCTACGTGAAAAAATAAAATGAGTAAAAAGGGGTATCAGTTAAAAGAGAAAATAAGGGGTTTACGTACGAGACATTTAATTTTGATGAATTATTAAAAAACAAAAATGGACCCCACAACCTTTTGATGTTGAAATGTCTTGGGAGACTAGAAGTAGCGGTAAGGAAGGTAGTGAACCTTAAGAGTACCGAAAACTGGGGGTGGGCATATGCCGATTTCGGTCAAAACCAATACCGAAAAGTAACTAATGGACTTTTTCTTTCCTCTTTTTTTCATGACAGAAACCCATAACGGAATCCTTTTATTTTTTCAGTATTGCATACCGAAGATTTCGGTATTGGATACCAACAGTTTCGGTATACCAAAAATTTTGGTATTGGACACCAAAAATTTCGTTATTCATTTGTTTGATTTTGATATTCATCAAATTTGCTGTTGCAGAGTGGAGAAAGGAAAGAGAACATTGGTGAGGATGAAAAAGGAGGAAGAGGGGTTAGAAGCAAATAAGATTACGAAGAGAATGGAGGAAAAAACACGATAATATGATATATAATTTTATAGTTGTGAAAAAACTATAAAAATTTATTATAGATTGAAAAAAAATTGTATTTTTTTTGTATCCAATGCCAAAATTTTTGGTATACCGAAATTGTTGGTATCCAATACCGAAAATTTCGGTATCCAATACTGAAAAAATAAAAGCATTCCATTATTGGTTTCTGTCATTAAAAAAAAAAAGAGGAAAAAAAAAGTCCGCTGTATCGGTTTTCACCGAAATCGGCATTTGCCCACCCCTACCGAAAACTTGTGATTTGTGAGAAATAGTCGAATAAGAGAAAGACAAGAAGAAAAGTGAGTGAGGAGAGAGATAGAAAGCAGTGGAGATTCAACTTTCTTATATTCAGGTTAGAAGAGTTTCCTTCAACAACTCCAAGTCTCATCTTTGCAGAACAGAAGCTAAAAGAAGCCTTTTTCTTTTGGTTAAACAATGGTTGCAACTTTATTTCACAAAGCTTCATCAATATTACTTTCGACTTCAAGTCATGTTCCCGTTTCCATGTCTAACCAAAAGAAGCGGCCTATACATGTGAAATCCATAGAAGCCAATGCATTTGATATTGAGGGAAAGAAGAAGCTGAGGATTTTGGTTGCTGGGGGTGGGATTGGGGGGCTAGTTTTTGCGCTGGCAGCAAAGAGGAAGGGGTTTGATGTGGTAGTGTTGGAGAAGGGAATGAGTGCAATAAGAGGTGAGGGGCAGTTCAGGGGTCCAATTCAGTTACAGAGCAATGCATTGGCTGCTTTGGAGGTCATTGATTTGGAGGTTGCTGAGAAAGTCATGCAAGCAGGGTGCGTCGTTGGTAATAGAATTAACGGCTTGCTGGATGGTATCTCTGGTTCTTGGTGAGTCTTTATGGATTCTTTGTTCAAACTAGCTTGTCTAAATTATGTTTGGGTTTTTAAAAAATGAAAAAACATGGTAAAATTGATTCCGAGATAACACTTTTTGCTGCACTATGTTCCTATGAGCATTATGTTTTTCTCTGATATAAAGTGCTACAATGAATTGTAAATAAGTTAACCCCAAGGCCTGTTCATTGGTAAAATAAGTATCATTTTATAAGTAAAGTTTAAAATTTAAATTTTGAGATTAATATTTAAAAAAATTAATTTTTTTAAATATGTCAAATTGATATATAGATATGCCTTTAAAATTATCAAAATAAAAATTAATTTAAAAAGAATTAATTAATATTTTTCTTCATAGTAAAAGTGTTTATTTTTATTGTTAATGTTATTATTTTTTGGTACATTAGATATAATAAATTATTCAAAAGGGAATATCCCTCCCCTTCTTTATTCTTTTTTCACTTATTTTAAATTTTGAATTCAAAAATTTTAATTTTTAATTTTGAATTTTAAATTTATTCAATTACTGAAGACACTTCTTATGCGATAATATTAGTATTATTATTAATAGAGAAAAGGCGTCACACTAGCACTTGATTATTGATGGGACTAAAAAAGAGTATAAAAATAAGTTTTAGGGACTAAAAAAAGAGACTCTTTGAGTTTATGATCAAAAAGGCACTTGTG